GTGGGGGGGGCGGGCAAGCGGGCTCATCCTGTCCTCGACTGGGCGCTTCTCGAGAGAATCCCGCTGCGGTACTGACCGCTCGGCCTCTGGGCGGCGTGAAAGACCTCAGAGTTTGGTCTCTGCTCGCTGCCATCCGGTGGCTGTCGGGGCCGAGATCCAGCTGCTGGGTACGTCCTGCAAAAGAGGGGAGCTGCGGGGGCTGGGCGGGAGCTGGACTCCCCCCAGAGGGGCGAGGCGGGGCGCACGGGGAGCAGCCTGTCGGGCTCCTGGGAAGGGAAGGCCCTGCCGCGTGCCAGAGGGGACTCCGTTCCGCTGCACGGGCCAGCCGGGTGGACTCATCTGTTCCTCCGGGGCTTCGCGCTCTCTTGCTCCACCACCCCGTTTATAAAGGGAAAAAAGTCGCTGCGGAAGCCGGCGTCCAGCGCTGCAGAACAGATGCTGAGCCCAGGGGCTGGATAGAAGGGGACCGTCTGACAGGGGACCTGCAAGCCAACTTGGGCCACGGCAGTTGCAGCCCCAGCCGTGCCACCTCAGATGCCTTCTGTCGTGGAATTTTTGCCGAAGAAAGGAGCACAACGCTGAGGAGAAGAACGATGTTTACTGCAGTGGTCCTCCGGTGCCTGCTTTCCAAGAAAGAGGGACCCCGAACAGTAGAAAGGCAGAGATTCTTATACAGTTTGGGGTTGAGAGGTGGGAAATCCTTGGGAACTGAGTCACGGGCAAGTTTTGGACAGGTGTTAAACAGGGGACAAGTGGTTTTCTAGGGTGAAACAAAAAACGTGCTTTGGTAACAAGGCGGCCGAGTTGAGGGTTGCACTGCCAAGGAGGACGGAAGATTAAGAAAAGCAGGGGGCTTAATAGGGACAGAATTCCTGCAGCTTCTCGCTTCATTAACAAAGGACTCCTCACTGAGGCTGCCCCCTGGACAAACTCTCAAGCAGACTGGCAATGACCCTCTCATTGTTTTAGTGTGATAGCGTCAAGAGGGCTGTCTCAGCAGTGGAACCACGGCGTTCTTGGGTCATGCAATAGCCTGGGACTGGTCCTGTTTTACACATGCGGGGGGGGGGGCGGCAAGGAAACAGCAGAGGGAAATGGGGAAAGGAGTTTGCAACAGAAGACACAAGGGGCAGGGGGACAGAAAGAGGCAGAGGGAAGGGGGGAAGAGTTTGCAGCCTTATTTTATTATTTTCCATCACACCCTCCTTCATGGACTTCCGGTGAGGAATTGGCAAACTAGACGTCGTGAAGGAGCAGGGATGACATTGCGGCAGAGATCGGTGGCCAGATCCTGGCCGGTGAAATCTCTCTGGAGAATGGAGAGATCATGAGATTGCCCACATGTACTCCGGACAGCTGCTCCTCATGAGTAGACTGCAGGAATTGAGGTTTTTGCAGTCGGCTTGGGAGTCGAGCAGCTGGGAGTCGAGGGATTCCAACTAAGCTCACAGTCATAATGTAGCCAATACAGACATAAGGTTCAACCAAGCCTCATTTCTTAATCACATTTGGAATTACTTTTTTACTGCTTTTCAAATATTAAGAACCTGTGGAACGACAACTTTCATGGCATTCACTAGGTAAGTTTCCTTCGATCCTTAGTGAAAGGAGTTTTAACTACGAGTTTAAAGACTCAGAAAATTTCTTTTTTGGAATACCCAGTAAAAGGGTGATTAGGGTGTTGATTTCAGAAAGTTATAAATAGACTAAGGGTTCAGAAGGATTTGAAATAAGACTCTGAAATTAATTATAAGAATCCTTCCTGTAGGAAATGGCTGTTCTGATTTCTTAAAAAAAAAATTATAAGATGGTACTTTGAAGTTTGGACACTAGAGGGAACCAGAAGGAAATAAAGGAGAAGAACACTTAAATTCAGCTTGGTAATATAGAATGGAGTGGCTATGGGTTCAGGGCTCCCCTGTATCCAGGGTCTTACCATCTTTGGTTCTGGATGGGGTTGCACTGTCCCAGACAGATCCAATGCACAATCTGGGGGTCTTCTTGGACTCATGACTCCTGCTCAAGGAGCAGGTGGTAGCCATGCCTAGGAGGGCCTTTGCTCAACTTCATGGTGTGTGCCAGTTGTGCCCTTTCCTAGATTAGGAGGCCCTTCTCCCAGTCACTCATGCCCTGGTCACCTCCTGTATGGACTATTGCAATGTATTCTATGTGGGGGTACCCTTGAAGGGTATTCAGAAGCTGCAGCTGGTGCAGAATGCGGCAGTACGGGCAGTTATGGGCACCTCTAGGACTGCACATGTAACACCTCTGCTGCGCAAGCTGCATTGGGTGCCAGTCTGGTTCTGTGTCCAATTCAAGGTGTTGGTTATGACCTTTAAAGCCCTTCATGGCATGGGCCCAGGTTACCTGAGGGACCATCTCATCCCCATTACATCGACCTGGTCCGGCAGGAAGGGTATGTTATGGACCCTGTTGCCTAGAGAGTTTTGACTGGTGGGGCCCAGGAAAAGAGCCTTTTCTGCTGTGGCCCCCACCGTCTGGAATATCTAGTCCCCTGAGGTGAGATTGGCCCCCACTCTGTTGGCTTTCCGAAAGAGTGTTAAAACCTGACTCTGCCAACTTGCATGGGGACCCAACGGGGGTTCACAGCACTGGGGTTGGCTGGTAGTCTGAGGATGCTCTCTCCGCCTTTTTAGTTTGGGCTTTAGTTTTAACTTTTTAGCTTAATTTTAACCTTTTGTAGTTTTTAACTTACATATTTTTTCTAGGATTTTATAGTTCTTTATCTGTAACACCACCTAGAATCACTTGTACAGTGAGATGGGTAGCGTATATGAATTTGAAAAATAAATAAATAAATACATTTGAGTTTATCTTTAACACCGTCTTTTATAGGTTCATCAAAATATCAGGAAAAGTGGGGAGACAAGTGTGGGGTTAGATATACTGCATGTTCAATAGCACCATTTCAGAGAATTTGTATGAAAGTTTAACAGCTAAGTAATGGGGAGAGTCATCTCCGAGGACCAATTCCTGTCCTTGCCAGCCCAGTGCAGTCAGTCCTCCTGATATCTACCCTTTGCCCATGAGGCTCCTTGCAGGAATAGTCCAGGAAGCAAAGCCTGGTAAGTGCACCGTGGTCAGCCATGTCTCTCAGAGTGCCATGAGATCAACGTCGGAGGGGAACTCCACCAGGTCCCCATCGGTTGCTCTGTTCTTCCAACCAGAAATATTCCAAATCAGTAACGGCACAGAGCCCTCGTGCTTAATATCAATGGGGATGATTGGAAAAGTATTGGAATTTGGGGTTAAAGAACATGAGTCTTTCAGTCATTCGGCAGGAGTGGTGTTAACCAAGATTCCTTCGGTGTCGGAAAAAACATGCTGGTCTGAAGTTCGTCAGCCTTTGCCACTGTCTTGTGTTGTATGAGCTACAACAGGCTTTGAGGTGAGCAGCGATTTGGGTGGGTCCTTTTGCAGGTTGGCAGCTCAGCATAGTCTCAGCGTCCAGAGGGAATGGTGATTTTCCTGCCTCCAGGTCTCTCCTTGACCCATTTCAGACAGCTTCCTGAGCTGCAGCCCTAACGGACGACTTGGGGCCTGGGTCTGTTTTTAGAAGCATTGAGCTCCTTGCAACTCTGTCCCACTCCCCAGCCAGCCGCAGGTAGTAGCCCACTGAGGTTGGGCTGTATCTTGCTTCCTCTTGTCCATCGGCCTCAATTAGGGTTCATTCCTTGTGTTTTCTGTGTGGGGTAGTATTTTATCAGGAAGCAGGGGGAGTGAGGTAGGAACCACTCCCAAGGGCTCTTTGTTGTTCTTTTGCGTGTCTGTATTCCGAATCACAATAGGAGGTGAACCAGCAGACGGTTTCTCAAGATAGGTAGTATTTTCTTGGGCAGTTGGGGTGACCGGCTCTATTCAAGGTTTAGCAGCTTTACTTGTTGTTCCTAATAATCCCCTCAGATTGTCCAGCCCAGTGATTCTCAACCTTTTTGAAGCTGCCGCCCCCCTAAGGAGTAGAAAATTTTTCAACGCCCCCCTTTGTGAAAATCCTGTAATTTAGGGTATGGGGAAGGGGGGAAGTTACTGACTTATAAAAGGCAAAAATTTTCAACCTTTTTGAAGCTGCCGCCCCCCTAAGGAGTAGAAAATTTTTCAACGCCCCCCTTTGTGAAAACAACCTTTTTGAAGCTGCCGCCCCCCTAAGGAGTAGAAAATTTTTCAACGCCCCCCTTTGTGAAAATCCTGTAATTTAGGGTATGGGGAAGGGGGGAAGTTACTGACTTATAAAAGGCAAAAATTTTAAGTAATTTTTTTCAGTAGACTTACACACCAAAT